GATGAGAGGCTGGAAAGCCCTTTAGAAACGAGCCTGTCAGAAGAAGAACCTTCCCATGGATCAGAGTAGACCAGCACCATCCTCCGTGGTGCTGGGAGAATCATTTGTGGTGAAAGCCAGGAGATGCAGGAGGTTTTGAGGGAGTTCAGGCTCGTTACGATGCCGAACCCATCAAACCGCGGCCGGAGAGAAGGTGAGGTTGGGTGCAACCACCATTTGGGGCTCCCCGTAGGCTGGAAGCCAAGATGGGAGAGGTGGGTCCTCGATCTCGGTGGCATCGGATGAGCGGCCGCGGTGGTGGAGGAAGAGCTGCCAAACATCTCCTGGGAAGCGTAGGTCAGGTAGAGAAAGCCGTCCTCGTCCTTGTTGTCACGGTAGAGCTCTTGCATGGTGATGGCCATGTTGGGCAAGCCTTTGTTGTTCACCAGCAGGTAGAAGGTCTGGGAGGAGCCCAAGCAGAGCCGCGTCCTGCCGGGAGGAAGGTGAAGACTACGTATGGGGGAGCGTTGCCCGGGACCGGGGAGCGTAGCCATCAGGGAGGCTCCATCCCTGGGGACACAGTGGTGGCTCAGTGCTTCTTCCCAAAGGGATGGAGCTTTGGCATCACCCCTCCTTGGTGCCAGCCACCTACCAGCATGAGGTTGGGCGCCAACGGCATGGCCAGCTGCTCCCAAAAAACATCTGTAGGGACCAAACCTCAGCTACAAGCTCTCACCTCTATCCTGAACCACCAGGAGATGGTGGTCCTTGGGGTGGGATTCCAAGCAGAGCCCAGAGCACAAAGGTTTCACATCAGCTGTGACGGCACAGCTCGTTTGCTAATCACCTACCCCCCACCCCTCCAATTAGCAATTAAGCAGTGGTGCAGGTGGAAGAGCTGGTTGTCCCCTTTTATCCCACCAAGGCGGGAGGACTCCTGCCCCTTCGGACAAGCCAACCCTCTTCACTAATTACAAAAGCTTAATTGCCTTAGGCCAAGCCTAAACACTCGCCCAGTGGAGGAAACATCTAAAGAAGCCAAAGCAGGATC